CAATGAAAGTGTGAGCGCTCTTCACCGGCTCCTGGCCGGTCATAAAACAGTCCAAGTTTTGGAGAGCTTTTCATATGAGGGGCACCCTGTTCAGAGAATAAAAAGAGAAACTAATTTTTTGAAATGTTCATCTACGTTAAAAAGAAATACCTCTCCTTACGACAGGCACTAGTCACCAATCTTCACCTGATGTTTTACGCCATACTCACTGCACCTCGCATCCCTTATGCAAGTGGTTTCTGTAGGGCTACACAGATTCTGCTTTTTCCGCAACATGGCTTTATTTTGGATTAACCTCTCTTACTTTACACTTCGGTATTTGAACGCTTTTCTTGTAACCACCACTGCGCGACTTACCTCGAACTTCGATAATTAAACATTTTTTTGCATCCTTGATGTAAAGTCACCGTTTCAGGCATTTCTTGCCACTATCTCGTATTTTTCACCAATCTCTCTGCCTTCTTATCCATTACTACTATTTAGAAATCACCAACCAGCGCCAGAAACGGAATTCCTAGACTCACATCACGGTTTTATACGATTGATATATCTCATCAACTGCATCAAACTGAGCCAACTGCAACACCGTTCTCATCGCCTCTTCTAAGGCCCCTCCTCCACTTATATATATGTGGCCGTCAACGAACAAGAGATTCGATATTTGCAGTGGACAGTCTATCATTTCTTTTTCGTATTCCCTGTTAAGGGCAACTTTTTATGTGCGGGAAACGAGAAGAGAGGTGAAAGACTTGAGAATTAATATTAGAGGAATGGGCAAAGTGACCTTTTATTGCAAAAAGCGGCTCCCTTATTTAGGGTTCATCACTCTTTGTGTGCAGCATAGTTTCTGCTGAAAACCATCTTTCTTCCCTACATCTTTGCTAACATGCTAAGAGAATTTCTTAGCATTGTTTTGTCTGCTTGAAACATATTCATATAACAACCAAGTTAAAATTTTCAAGCCTTTTTTTTCATATATTTCCCGGTGAAACTGCTCCTCACTTCCCCTTTCTTCCCTCCTTCAACCACTTCCTTGCCGCTGTTTCTTTCACAAGAAAATGTTATCTTTCCTTTTCACACGGAAAAAAAAGACTTTTTAAAATCTACCTTACTTTTTATTCGACCTTTTGTTTATAAAAAAAAGAACAAAGAGACGGCAGGGAACAAGTACTTCAAATGGAGCTCGTATTGCTTATGTTTTTTTTCAAAAGGAATGAGCATATGTTCATTATCCTGGTAAAGACAAGTTAGGAGGTGGCTAGGTTTTTTGTGTTGAGGTGTCCAAATTGTATGTTTGATTGAAGAACAGTCAGTAAGTGATAAACCAGGAAATACTCTGTGTAATGATTCTGCAGACTGTTATAATGCACATTACTAATTCAAGGACACTGTGAAAGTGTAAAGTATAGACTTCACTTGGTTTAATCAGTAAATAGCTTTATATTGAGATTCTTTTCTACGCAAAATTAGATAAAGAGCAAAGCCGGACAGAGAATAACGGTAATATTGGAATATTGGTTATGAGCTTACCTAAATTTACATCTACAGTTGCGTAATATTCCGAGGTATTTCTGTCAACAGAAAGGATAAATAAAGTAGTGAAATCTGATAGCTAACTGCATTTTGTTTTTGACCCCTTTGAAGCCTAACCTAGGCACCAATTCCACTTCTCCTCTTTTTTTTGATAATAGAAATTGATTCAAGAATTCCTTACTGGGGAGTGAATTTTTGATCTTCCACAGGCATTTATAACTTCAGCCTACAAGTTGTGCGTCAGTTTTTATCTTGTAAAAAATTTATGGTTGCTTCTGCTGATAACAGTTCCTTTAGTAATTAATAACTAAGTAAAATCGGTTTTGCTAATAGATTTTATTCAAGCGTGGAGCTATGGAAGTGAACTGTTAATGAAAATACTGTCTGCACAGTATGACTGAGTGGCATTATCTGGTCGTTAACCTGAAGATTTTAAAAGCTGAGAAACGGTGTTTTTTTGTCATTTACAACTTTATGTGAACAGGCTATGAACCGGGCTACAGATCTCCTTCGCACAAGCTGATTCCTTATCTTCCGTTTTGAATCGCCAGGTTTTCTAGAAATTTATGCGAATTAAGCGGGTGGATTTTAAAGAAGCCGTTTGGGACCTTAATTTTGGGGTGTATTTTTGCTGGAAAACAACGAGTAGGATTTCAGTCTTCGACTTCAGATACATACATAATGAAAGGTTGGGATAAATTTGAAGTAGCGCAATAAAATGACTTAAAGATAGAAAAAGAAAGTAGTGATAAACTAGGACGACATTAAATGAAACATTTGTGAATGTCCTCAAAAACAATTTGATTTAAAGGTTGCTTCTCTAATTATTTGCTCAATAAATAAAGTACGTTATCCTTTATAAATCTTTATGATTAACGGCTGTGTTAATTTGTGCATGCCTTTTTTTAGTAGGTACCCTAGCGCATAATACTTGGTTCTTCAACCTTTTATTTCTCGCAAATGAGTGATTAAGTTGGTTAGGAAAGCAAAAAAAAAGGAAAAATTTTATGAAAAAAAGTAATGCAGCGTACGACAGGGTGATCAGCAGTGAATTATGCAGTGTCAGCAAATATAACGATTAGATTTAAATCATCTGAAGTGAGAGAAATTTGCTTTAATGGCTCATAGAGAGAACATTAAAACTGTATTAAAATTCTTACTTGACTCTTTTCAATTTCTGTGGCCTTAGCGAGGAAAGGAGCCATAATACTTTTCAGTTTTTTTAGAAAATCCTGTATATAATTTTTTAGCAGAAGTAAACAGTTAAAAAAATGAGGGAGGTAATTCCGTCCAATGAAAGCTAAAATCAAATGGACTATTCATAGACACATCCAAATGAAAAATTTCAGACGACGAACTACGACTTCAGTGCCACTGGAATCCGTTTTTCACTGGTCTCGATTTGAGCGAATTCAGCACTGCAACAGTTGCGATTCAGGGTAACAAATTCTTGTTTTCGTACTTTTCTTATACTGGGCTCATTTAAGCTTTTAGTTAAAAATACTTACATATTCCTTTTTCAGTCACCGGAGGGCGGTATTTGAAGCTTTTAATTTCTACTGATTGCTCTTTATATTTTACTTCTTAAAATTGTGCAACATCACATAAAACTGCAAAAAAAAGAAGATTCCTCATTAGATTCGTTCCAGAACGGTTAGGAGTGCCAGCATTAGTTTACTTTACGGGATCTATAGTGTGCTTCGTTGCTTTCTATTTTGGTGCTATAGGGTTTGCAGAACGTGACTGCCGAACATTACTTGCTTCCATGATTTATACCTGTGCAGGTTAGTTTTGCAGCGTTTTTACACTGTAATCAATGGAAATTGCTCAAAACAGTTCTTTTATCAGTACTATTTTTAGGATTCTTCATACTTGTCAGTGTTTTACAATTTATATGTATTGTGGACGATGAATTAGGACATCGCATGAAACCTACAGCATTTGGTGAAGCCTCAAAATTTAGTTATCACTACGGTTTGCTTTTTCTTCGTTTTTCTGCAATAAATTTGACTGAACAGCAACAGAAATCGCCTTTTTTTTACAGGATACTCCTTTTACTTTTCTTCACTTTCTTTTCTCCCTTTACAAATGTGTATCTGTTTCCATGCATTTCTTTACTTCCGAAGGTTTCCGAATGCCATAGACAAAATGAAAATAGTTCCTGGTCTCCAAAGAAAATGTAAGTTAATTTATATTTAATCAACAAGCATTGAAAGTTGACGTGACAGCAAATATCTTCTACGGATTTTCTATGTCTCTTGATCTCACTTCCAACCTTTCTCTGCAGATAAATATATGCTCTTTTTTTCTACTTTCCCCTATACAAAACATATTTTAAGCTGTCCTTTC